TAAATTTCGGCATTATATGACCCATAAGGAATTGATGTGCCGTAAAACAACCCAAACCAAACCTATCAGATATTTTAATCCTCAAAATCTAAACATTAAAACAATTGAGCCACTGAATCTTCATATTAAAATTAAGCCATTGAATCTTAATATTCATTTAGTTTCAAGACGGTATTTTCTTTAGCAGCAAGGTATTCGGTTTCACGACATTCAACGGCTTACATTTGTATTAAAAGTTGGTTCCTGTCTGAGCAGAATTCTAAATTCAATTCCTGTCGCAGAGCTGAGGACGTGCAATGAATACAGGCACCATTTCGAAGCGAATTCTTTAAAAAGAAATGAGACGACTTTTTCTAAATTCCATTGTTAGTGACAGCTCTATTCCAAGTACTCGAGTTAGAACTGAAAGCAGAATACGAAATGCCACGGAAAAGTTCTGGTATGTTTTTTTTGAAACCTTCCCACGACATTTGGCTCTTCTCTTCATCTGTACGGAAATTACACAGCACTTATTACCATATACGAGAATACGAGGTATGTCTGAAAATTAACGGGACTGTGTGTGCTTTGTGAACTATGGACGAAAAAGGGGTGAGCACATTGGGAGTATTGAACTCTAATCTTAGCCTTCTGCAACCATTGATGTTTTTTTTTTCTCACATGCATTTGTGGCTGGACAAACACTGGCTGCTTCATCACGACAATGTACCTGCTCACCACGCCCTTAGCTCCTGGCCGAGAAGAACATCATGGTAATGGAACGACCTCCCTATTCACTTGTTCTCCGTGTGACTTTTTTCTTTTCCCCAGGCTCAAGGGGATCATCAAAAGGCGTGGGGACCGTCAAGAAGGCCGTAACGACGTGCTTGAGGGATATCCAAGAAAAATCCTTCCAGCAGTGCATAGAAGTATGACAGAGAAGTATGGAAAAGTCCATTAGACTAAAAGGAGATTACTTTAAAGGAAAACATAGTTTGTTGTTTGGAATTTAAATAATTTTTAGTGACACCAATCCCGTTACTTTTCAGATAGACCACATCGATATGTGATAAAAGTATCGCACTGTTTTATTGTTTCCAGTAAAATTTTTCTGTCTCTTAATACATTACTTACTTTCTGAAAAGCATCTTTCGCTATTTCAAAGCGCCTTTCGACTTAAGAGTTTTATTTTCATACCTCTTAATAATACTTTACTTACTTTCTGGAAGTCATCTTTTGTCATTCTGATGCACCTTCTGATTTCTGTATTATATTTTCATACCTCTTAATACTTTACTTAGTATCTAGAAGGCATCTTACGTTATTTCAATGGGCTTTCATATTTTTATGCCACACTTTCCGTCCTCTATTAGTAACATACCAATGTAGTTAAATTTCTGTCCTTATTTTGGCGTCTCCATTTTTTCCGTCTCACACACTGAGCTCTCTTCCTTGTTAACGACCATACGCCATAACTTATTCATTATGTATTCCAAAATTACAACTGCCTATTTCTTATGGTCAATCTTTCCTTTTTCACATTTTTCATAAAATTTCCTCGTTGCTCACATGTTCTGTCCATGATATTCTCAGCATCCTTCTGCAGAACCACGTCTTCGTTCCCTCACCTCTACTATTCGTCTTCCCAGAATTCACTAACACATAGGAGGATAGTTATTACATAACAGTTCATCGCTCTTTTGTTTGTTTCTCACGAAATTTTTCTGGTTTCCTAATACTTTGCTTAGCTTTTTGGAAGACATCTTTCACTATTTTAATGTTTGGTTTGGTTTACGGCAAAATAAACCTCAATGGGTTATTTAATGCCGACAACATTTTTAGGATAGATTCGTATGAATAGAATATGTATTCTTTGGTTTAGATTGGTTTGGTTTATTTTGTTTTACGGCATATCAACTTCAATGGGTTATTTAATGCCGACAACATTTTTAGGATAGATTCGTATGAACAGAATATGTATTCTTTGGTTTAGATTGGTTTGGTTTATTTTGTTTAACGGCATATCAACCTCAATGGGTTATTTAATGCCGGCAAGATTTTTAGGATAGATTCGTATGAATAGAATATGTATTCTTTGGTTTAGATTGGTTTGGTTTATTTTGTTTTACGGCATATCAACCTCAATGGGTTATTTAATTCCGACAACATTTTTAGGATAGATTCGTATGAATAGAATATGTATTCTTTGGTTTAGATTGGTTTGGTTTATTTTGTTTTACGGCATATCAACCTCAATGGGTTAATTAATGCTACCACCCCGGGTCAGCAATTAAGAGGTGGTTCTACGATCCTCAAAACCTCCTGATCAGAGGCCTTGCTGGTGGACGTAGTTTATCGTCTTACCCAGGGCGCGGATGTATTTTATCGTCATACCCAGGACGGTATTTTAATGTTACTTCGGATTTCGGTGTCACATATTCCGTCAACGGTTACTACAACAACTAGTTCGTTAAACGTCTTTCCTTGCTTGATTCTGAAATCTCCAAATCGCTTCTGATGCTGCCTTTCATGCTCCTTACTCTCCATGCAAAACGAGTGCAATTCTAACACAGCGCCGGTTAAATATACAGCCCCACATAAATATATTGTAATTTTGGGATGCATAATGAATAAAGTGTGGCGTATGGTCGTCAGCCATAGGACGGAAAGTGTGGCATAGAAATATGACGGCGCATTGAAATAACGTAAGATGTCTTCCAGATACTAAGTAAAGTATTAAGAGGTATGAAAATATAAATATATGTGACCAGCGACAAAAATGGCCTAGTTGATTAAAGCGTTTGTTACTGAATTTGCTGATATAGTAATTGTGAGTTCAATCCCGTAGCAGGGCAGTGTTTACTTGAACTCTGGGGAAACAGTGCGTGCAACTACTGAGCGGTATTAAAAATAAGAACTAGGCGAGATATCCTTAGAAATGGAACGAGAACAGTCTACCACATAGATTAAATAAAGGGTTCAGTTCGAAACTCCTTGTAGTTACCTGGATCAACAAGTACCTGATGAAGACCGATAGTGGGGGACAACTGCCGAAACGTCAACAAAGATGAGGTCAATAGACCGAATGAAAATATGGCAAATAATAAAATAATCAAAATAGCCCAATCCCAATAACTGTTGCTGCAGGTGTCATGGCTTACCTACGGTGCAATTGGAAGGTGTTTCTTCTGTGATGGGTCCCAATAATCATGCTCATTAATAAAATGGAAAAGTAGATTTTTTGTAATTAAATTAGTCAAATATTTTTGTCTTGATATAAAAAAAACGAAGAGACTGTCGTAATTTTCTTTATAAAGAAATGCGAAAACCAGATATACTTTTTTTTTTTATATATTCCAACAATTTTAGGAAAATCTGTAGCAACAAAAAAATACAAACTGTAACGCGTTTCATCATTTGTGTTACGTTGATATGATTACACATACGCATGAAGAAGAGGAGACGCTGAAATATTTTAAATTTCAATAAATAAAATTTAAATTGTCAGCGTTCTGATCTTCTTCGTAGGTATGTGTAATCATATTAATGTAAACATCACTTTTTTTTAAAGGCATACTTATTGATCATCCTTTGTAAATAGTTAACAGGTAAGAATTTCTTTATGACTTTCTAGGATGAGGAATTATTATTTATCCTAGGGCCAACGTCATTTTTCTTATTATTTTCACAGCGTTTCGGCCGTTATAGCCTCTGGCCTTCTTCAGTTGCCCGCCGATCCAATTAACCCTTTATTTCATCTGTTCTTGTTGCGTTGTCAATCTCTAGAGATAAGTCGATTCTTGCCAAAAGTTCCTCTTTTCCCCTAACATATCGGCGTAGTGTAGCCTTTATTGGCCACTAGTCTAGGATGTGCGTTGTGATGTGGATGGATATCGGCTCGGAATGAGAACTCGGAGAGCTGAGTTCGAATTCCAGTTGAGTTCGTTAGATTGACTTATGCACAAATACACTTAGGAAAGGTATTAATCCATCTATTATCCCCCAGCTATGGGTTAAATAGCAGGACAGACTGGGTTCTTTAGCTTTGGTTGATAACCAGTCTAACACAGAAAGAAATGGCAACCAACTGCGGGAAAAAATCTCATTAGCCATATATCGAAAGATACATGATCGCCCAAGCATATATCAGGTGTGGCATTTAACTGACAGACTAAGTTAAGGACAACTCTCAACTCAAAACCGTTTCGGTGTGGGGGTGACAAGTCCACGCGTAAAAAATCCTTTTTTTTAAAAAAACATTTCACCCCAAGCAAGGCAATAAATCCACTAAGACTCAAGGAGTTACTGAATGTTAGAGAATATAAGAAAAATATATTATTAAGGAGGGCCGACAATAACAGAACAAGAATTAAGAAGATTTAAGATAACCATTGGCAGTGATTTTAAATTTTTGAACATAAAGCGGACTAGGAAGCAAGAAGCCGGAATAGAGTTCCACGAGCGAGAGGTGTAATAAAAGAAACTGTTAACATAGAACTTACGGTTGTATCTAACCATTTCAACTGTAAAATGATTAGATCCTGCCGCCAATCTAGTACTGCTCAATAAAGTGTAGTAGCGATGTCTAGCGTGGTGAGACTGTGACCCTATGTCCGACAGGGATAGCTGTATCCCTATGATCAATGGTGGAGTCTACAAAGCTCACATTATCAGCAGCACCCGAAGGTAACAGACTAGAATACGCTTGCAAAAGCTAACAGAAAATTATAAATATCTATCGCCAGCGAAACAATCAAGACATATCATAACAGTTGTAATGTTCAACTGTGGTTACCAAAGACGGTTATTTAATTCCGAAATATAAATATTTTGTACGAAATTGTTTGGAGATAAAATTGGTTTTAGTGATATAACTTTTACTAATTAACCCATAGCTGGGGGGCGTAAGAGGTGGATTCATACCTTTCTTAAGGGTATTTTCGCGTAAGTGAATATAACGAACCCTACAAGAACTAACTCGGCTCTCCGATCAACAATTACCAATTACATCACATCCAAAATTACAGCACATTGTATTCCCAAGTGGTTACCCAACTCGGTACAGACCAGGCTTAACGTTGCTTAATTTCGCTGATCGTAAGGGAATCGGTGTTTCAACGTGACGAGGCCGTAAGCTATGCTTGGTGTACTGATCGCATTGCTAGACATTTCTTTGTTCTCCAGCGCAGACGCCAGGTGTGACAGATTTGAGATTTTCGGATTGAATCCTGAATTTAATCTGTTTTTGTTCTCCTGTCCATTTCTCGAGATATATTGTCTTTTGCTAATTTGACTCCTTTTCATTGTCTTATTTAGTTATTCTTTATCCTTTTTCCATTGAATCTAAACATGCACTGCCCGTCCCAGAGATTGAACTCGCAAATGTTAACCATGTTTGCTGTAGTCTCTGAATATAGAATCCAGTGAAGTCCGTAATGTGTTCAATATCAGAGGTTGGCAGTGAAGATTCGGAGAAAGTAGCAGCTGTTAAGTCTTCAATATCAGAGGTTGGCAGTGAAGATAGTTTGGGAGAAAAGACAAAATGGCTGCCTTTATACACGTCGGATTGACTATTTTGAGCTTTCTGATTGGTTAACCCTTCTCTTGATGGACTATAAAATGAGTCAGATCACTTTGGCTAGCTCACTAGTACTTACAGGGTACCCAAACATTCCAACATAATCAACCATAATTTATTTAAAAATATTTTCAAGCATAGAATTTTTCCAATGTTCTTCAATTATGATTTTTAGGTGCTTCACATTTGTTTGGGCAGGAGCTGTTGACCATGTTTGCCGTAGTCTTTGAATATAGAATCCAGTGCAGTACGTAATGTGTTCAATGGAACAACGCCAATATCACTAGTAGCAGCTGTTCAATAATTCTTCAGGTCTTCGATATCAGAGGTTGGCAGTGAAGATTCGGAGAAAGTAGCAGCTGTTAAGTAATTCTTTAAGTCTTCGATATCAGAGGTTGGCAGTGAAGATATTTTGTGATAAAAAACAAAATGGCTGCCTTTATACACGTTGGATCGAATATTTTGAGCTTTCTGATTGGTTAACCCTTCTCTTGGTGGACTATAAAATGAGTCAGCTCATTTTGCTTGGCTCACTAGTACATACATGTATCTAAAAAACTGCAACAGCAAAGACTATTTCAAATTCTTGATCGTCTAGTGTGGAAAAACGTCACGATATATAATGCATGACTGCACGGTTTTTAAAACTTCATATAGAGATTTTCTTTTCTGAACATTGATATCTATGATTGATATACTGATCACATTGCTTGAAATTTCTCTGTTCTTGAATCCTGAATTTAATCTGTTCTTGTTCTTCTGTCCATCTCGCGAGATATATTGTCTTTTGCTAATTTGGCTCCTTTTCATTGTCTTAATTAGTTATTTCCTATCCTTTTTCCATTTGAATCTAAATATTCACTGCTCACCCCAGAGATTGAACTCACAAAGGCTATTCCAAATTCATGATCCACTGTGCTAAAGATTGGAAAGACTTCACGATATACGATGCATGGCTGCACGATTTTTGAAACCTCATATAGAGATTTTCTTTTCTTAACATTGGTATCTATGCTTTGTGTGCTGATCGCATTGTTTGATATTTCTTTGTTCTCCAGCACAGACACGATATGTAACAAGTTTGAGTAGGAACATGCATGTCCCCCAAAAAAACAAAATAAAACAACTTAAATAAAACAGTTACCTGAGAGTAGCCCGTATGTATAGTGGTCAAAACGTTGATGCAATAAAGGAATTAACACTCTATCCCCCCCAAAAAGACTAAGAGAATTACCGTATTTGACGGCATATAAGACGCACCCCCCCCAATTTCAGCAGGGAAAATCAAGAAAATTAGTAATTAGTAAAATTATTAGAAAACGGTACAGCCTAGGCTATATTTATGAGGTATTATTTTGGTTAAACAAGCCATGATTATAATTAAACGAAATATAATAGGAAAAAAGAACACGGGTCTATAAAAACTTTATTATATCCAAAGATAAGAAAACAAAATAAAAATCAAGCAATTATTACAATTGAGCAAAACAGTACAGTTACCATTAAAATTTTATTCATCTTCAAATCCATAAAATTCGTCGTCTTCGTTATCAAAATTCTGATACTCATTTTCAATACAACTGTCATCGTCATTAAATAATGCGTCATCTTCCGTTCCATTGAGAGCATTGCTAATGCCACACTTTTTAAAAGATTTCAAAACAATTTCTTGTCTAATATTATCCCAAGCTTGCTTTGCACATTCACAGACTTGTGCAATGCTGGGTCTTTTTATTCTTCCTGTAAGTGTAAGGCCGTGATCAGGCATTGCCATCCACGTATTCCATTGCACCTTCATATTTGTCTAAGCTAATAGGAGTTGCCAGGTAGCTAATTTCGGCCGACTATCGAGAATTTCAAACCTACATATGGCATATAAGACGCAGGGGAATTTTAAAAGATATTTTTAGCAATAAAAGAGCGCCTTATAATCCGTCAAATACGGAAGTCTGGTTAAAACTTTGCAATGAGTTGAACGCTTTTTCTAAAAAACATTCAAATAAGAATTCTTAGCTTCCTTCTATAAGAATAAAGTTGATTTTTTTTTCTTGTCAAATTCAGTTTGGAGGAGAAGTAGTTTTAGTCTTTTCATCAGAATGAAATTGAGCTAGCCGTGATTACAAAAAAACGTATTGTTAAATTTATTTTATTCTTTGTGAATCATCCGTTTACGTTCGCCTCTAACTTTATCCAATTTCTTTTTTTTTAATTTTTTTGTTTCCATGCCGGGCAGTTTTTCTTGGCAGCCATTTTTTTTCTTTTCTTTTCTTTTTTTTTTTTTTTTGCTTTTAATCTTTTCTCGGTCTTAAGTTTCCCGCCTTAATACCACTAAATTTTCTCTCCGTCATTCATCGTCTTCTTTTTGTTTTTGTTTTTTACTTCTCCTTCTCGGATTCTGCTATCACCTCACAGCCACCATGTCCTTTACACACTCCCTTCTTTATCTTTCACATTTTCCATTTCTATCCTCTGTTTCTTACCATTTTGTCTTGCCTAATTAACATTTAGAATGCTTCTAAATCTCTCGAGGCTCCCGCATCACCACCACACACTATTGGTCGACGCTAGAACTGAATTTGAAAAAGCTACTCTTTTCTTTATAACATTTTCAAAGAACTGATATATTCTCATACTGTCCATTGGCGACGTCGTCATCTTGTAATTATAAATGGAACGTTGAACTGCTTCTAGCAGTCGAGTCGTCTGTTTAAGCGCTGCGTTTGGCTGGATTAATTGTACCGGGATAAGAGGACGGACTTTTCTTGTTGCAATTTGGACATAAGCGGACTTAACTAAAATATCTTTATACCATTCCCGCACCAATAGAAGGCTTAAGAAGCATCCAAGCGGTTGTATCTAGGGTGGGGGTTGCAACTAATTTCAACACGAAACTAATTCCATTTCGGAACTAATTTCAACTCAGAACAAACTTCAAATCGGAATTAAGAGTAAAATAATGGAAATGAGAGTAGAGAGAGGCTTAGCTGTAAAGGTCTGAACTGGTGAAACTAAGGAATGGAGCTCATCTGAACATTTTCCATGGAAAAAACGATAGAATAGAGAGAAGCTTAGCTGTAAAGGTCTGAACTGGTGGAATTAAGGAATGGTGCTCATCTGAACATTTTCCATGGAAATAACGATAGAGTAGAGAAAGGCTTATCTGTAAAGGTCTGAACTGGTGGAACTAAGGAATGGAGCTCATCTGAATATTTTCCATGGAAATAACGATAGAGTAGAGAGAGGCTTAGCTGTAAAGGTCTGAACTGGTGGAACTAAAGAATGGAGCTCATCTGAATATTTTCCATGGAAATAACGATAGAGTATAGCGAGGCTTAGCTGTAAAGGTCTGAACTGGTGGAACTAAGGAATGGAGCTCATCTGAACATTTTCCATGGAAATAACGATAGAGTAGAGAGAGGCTTAGCTGTAAAGGTCTGAACTGGTGGAACTAAGGAATGGAGCTCATCTGAACATTTTCCATGGAAATAACGATAGAGTATAGCGAGGCTTAGCTGTAAAGGTCTGAACTGGTGGAACTAAGGAATGGAGCTCATCTGAACATTTTCCATGGAAATAACGATAGAGTATAGCGAGGCTTAGCTGTAAAAGTCTGAACTGGTGGAACTAAGGAATGGAGCTCATCTGAACATTTGCCATGGAAATAACGGTAGAATAGAGAGAGGCTTAGCTGTAAACATCTGATCTGGTAGAACTAATGAAAGTAACACCCCACAATATTTCTCATAGAAATAACGATAAAGTAGTTAGATGGAGGCTTAGCTATATATGTCTGAACTGTTGAAACTATGGAATGCAGCTCGTCTGAACATATGCCATGGAAATAATGATAGATCAGAGTGAGAGAAGTAACTTTTCCTATGTGGAGTAAGGACCTGGAGGGTGGGAAATATTTCATCACCCACAAGCAATATAAGTCAGAAAGTAAATGACTAGGAGTAAATACCGTCCAAAACCTGTAAACGTTGAGAGTACAATGAATTATATAATCCTATTTCCATGTTACTTTTTTACTTTTTCTTTACTTCTTCTTCCATTTCATCTTCATTCTTCTTCCATGTTACTTCTTCTTTATTTCTTCTATTTTGTCATCTTGTGTCGTGTCTCTTCAGGATCATGGCTCACCACAACTTCCTACTTCTTTGTAGCCCTTAATAATCATTTACAAACGTTCGTTATCCGGTGCTTTCCTCTATTCCGCTCACCATCTTCCATATGCAATGAAGGATTATGGGCATATCACATTGAAAAAATCGTTCCTGTACGATCACCGAAGGTAAGCAACGTCGAACCTGGTCAGCACTCAGATGGGTGACCGTTTGGGGATTCCAGGTGCTGTAAGCTTGGGTGTGCGGTTGGTGTAATGGATGTGTCGGAATTGGAAATCGGAAAGCCGAGTTAGAATTCCAGTCGGGTTCCCTGTTGCACATCTAACCTTGGGCAAGATATGAATCCACCTCTACCGCCACACACCCGGCAAGTAAAACATTTGAAGAGTTTGTGTGAATTGATCTGTGGTGAGAAAATATATCC